TAGGGTGGAATTCATATATTTTCATGTTACCGGCCGATTTACCACTTAGACACATCAAATTCACATCCAATTTAAATGGCTTCCTCAGTGATTCGCGAAAGCTTTAGGCAGAGTGCTGACCCTTTAATAGATTCAATATCGAAACTGCACGACCAACTGAGCGGGTCGGCATAGATCGTTCAACGAAGGCTTGTCAAGTCTTGTTGCATTACTTCTTTCCTCACTAAGCCAGCACCAATACATCAATGCATTTACATAACAGATCTCCATCACATGATATTTAGTTCTGCTTTTCTTGCTTACCTCACATATCAATAAGGCATTTTCCAATCACATACTTAACACATGTTTTCTGAATTCAAATGTTGGTCTGAATGGACTCTGTCTCGGAACTCCGTCCGTTTAAATGTAAGCCCCCCAACTAGATAACAAACAAATGAGTTGTGATAATGAAGTTTTAATAGAAAATTTAGTAACATTTATCTGTCCATTGAAGAAACTGTATTTTGTCACCATCTTGTATGACATAATTTTGCATGTGCTAGCTTTAATCTGCTTGGCGCGCATAATAGTAGTGCTGAAAAGACTTTATGTCTAATTGCAATAATGAATATTTTTCTCATCTTCTATCAATAAATGCCATAAGAACCCTTAACTTATATATGAGGGTTTATAAAACCGAGGGATTAGGCAGGCCTACATAAGTTTTAAGTGTCTGTAAGGGTTTGCAGGCTGCCCCGAGAATTCGGACCATGAAGAGGCAACCAAACCCAAACTCCCGACTTGGACCATTTTGCTGCGGTTCTGTAGATGATGAAGACCACCTTTTACAAAATACTAATGTCTAAACGAGCATATTTTATTTGTAAGCCCATGTTCATTCTTGAAACGCCAGTACATGTTTCTGTTATTTAAGACATCTGCTACTTAATGGGTTATAAAGTATATTCGTTTTTCTTCACAATTTTCTTCAAAAGCAAAAGTGAACTGCTAATAGCATGCAGCAAGGAAGAGTTGTAATTGGCCACTTGATTAGATGTGACCCATCAAAGACGCCTACAAAGGAATAAAGAATGCTAACTCAGAAAGATAAATGATTCAAGGCCGGAATCCTATGAAATTTGGAAAGTATTATTCAACTTACCTGAAAATAAGAATAGTTTTCCCACAATAAAAGGACTAGGCCTAATGATGTCATGCAATTTCACTTAGCCTTGCTTCCCAAAAGGCTTTCATAAATGGAATAGATTACAGTTTCGACCTTTCTCACTTTTCAACATTACCACCCACAGGATTCGAAACAACGTTGTGTGCATTCTAGCATCCCTTCACCACTCTGCCGCACAGCCATGGGTGCTAGTGGGTCACAGGACATTCATAGGTTTATAGGCAAGGTATGTCTATTCCAGATCACATTTCTAGTCAGAATGTCGATGAACCAACTTTGTATTCGACATTAAATTCGATAGCGTTATTTCTCTTGTTTGTAGATAGGCCTCAAAAGAATCAGGGATTATTGAATAAGAACTAAGTACTTTGTTTGTTTCTCGAATACAGTCCTCAAATCACCGTATAGATGTACAGGCCAATTACATACTGCCAACATTGCGGCCGCTTCTTAAGTATAGGATTAAATATTTCAAAGCTTTATATGGCTGCAATTAAGTTCTGGACTAAATGATGGCGTAAATCGGTTGAAAAGAGAGGCTATAACGGCGAAAACAATGTTATTGAGAAAGGATTTTTCACATACAACTTTAATTTTAGTTCTCAATACGCAAACTTTGAAGAAATTATACAAAATACATCATTTCAATTGCATCTGCCGTAAATAATCATTTTTCTATTCTGCTCAGATTTGCTATTGCTGGAAAACGTTAGATTATATGCAAATTATCCAAGTAGTTTAACGAGGCAAAATTTCAATAATTAAGGTTGAGTAATGGATAAGAGATCACAGACGAATAATTTGGATCACAACACAGATTCGCCAAATGGCTCTTCGACAAAGGCTTATTTATGGAGCACAAAGGCTCATGACTCTTTAAGGAGACTTACGAAGCCGGCCCACCTATGCTACTCTTCATTTGTGCGCCAAGGCCTGAGGAATGCCAATTGTCATTCACCGTGTCGCGCGAGGCCAGATACTTTTGGCAGTTCAAGTTGGATCGTTCAAAAGACAGCCGCCCATCTGGCGTGGCAGAGCGACTACGCCGAGCTGAACGTATTATTGTTTCAGACTTGGGTGAGGTGTCTTGAAATTGGGGTGGAAATGATAGGATAGGACCTAAAAGATCTTTCGAGATTCACTTTAATGATAAGAATTAAAGAAAACGGAGGAATCTAAATAAATATAATTGAATCAAAGAACAAAATCACATAAATCTTTCAGATAGATTCAGGTCATAAATTACATCAATGGCTATGGCCCATTAAAAAGAATGACAAAGCTTTCTGATGATAATGTTATAGCGCACTATTATCTTTTTACGAAAGCAAATGTTAATACAAAGAAGAAATTAAAAATGAAATGAAAACATTAAGGAATATATAAAAATAAGTTAAGTTTAAATAGTGTATAAAAAATCAGGTTAAGAATATGCTGCTCAAATAAGACAAGTTGAAGCAATAAACAAATTAGGTAATAAATTAAAGTATTAACACGAAGCGAATCTAGTTAATTATAAGTAAATAGGAAGAAAACAAAAGTAATAAAAATCAATATGAATTGTGTTCGTTTAAGATGATGAAGGAATGGTAGTTCATTTTTCCCACAATAATATGAATAAAGTTGAAGTTTCCATTAATTTTCGCATAGCCTTGCCTTCCCAAAAGGTGTTCTCATCCGGGGTGGACTTCAGTTTCGATCTCACCTAGGTCTTATAAACAGCCCAAGCAAGATTCGAACCATTATAGTGCAACGTGTAAGCTTGACACGCTAACCACTACATCACATTGTCACGAGTGCCCTTGGGTCACAGGGCAGATGTGAATTTCAAGGAATGTCAGGCATTTTCCATATCGCATTTTGTGTTAGGATTGTCGATGAAACAAACTTATATTTGCTATGGAGATCAACGACGTTACTTATATCGTAAATGAGTAGGTTTTCTATACTAACAGTAAATCAAATATATGAGTTGTAATCGCCCTATTTCGTTTAAGGAAGTGGACCCAAACTTTTTCTATTTTCAATTAAATTTTTTCCAAGGCGCCCTACCCTAAGTATGACTATTCATAAGTAAGAGACAGAAATTAATAAAACTCATGTATCTTCATTATTTTCTTTACTTTATTAACATTAAATTAATATTTAATAATTAATGTGATGGATGCAAATCACTGCACACTTTCTTAAATTGAAGCCTTTACAATATTTCGCGGCGCCCCTACAAAGAGGCTGCGGTTCCCCGGGGCGCCGCACAGGTCAACTTAGAACTCGATATGCCTCCTGCACTAATTATATAATTTTACGCGCTATAATCCTCCCAATGATAATTTTAATTACTTTAATTTTTTGTTTTTGCTGATGATACAATTTGGGAGAATAATTTATTGCTTACTTTAATGGATCTGAAGTTTCTTCCTCGTTTACTTAATATCATATATATATATATATATATATATATAACTAGTACTTTGACGGTCCAAGTCATAGCATTTGAACTGATCAAGATGGATTGCTGAAAATGTATGTTGTTATGGAATTTCCCACACTCTGAATTAAACAAAATATGATTATTCAGAATGGACTACAGTTTCTACTTTACTCGAGTCTTCACAACGTGGGCAAAATGCCACACCTGCCGAAATAAAACATTTTCTTGCTCGGAACAATGAGCAATGTCTGAATAGATCACGTGGCATGTGAATTTTTATGAAACTTTTCGGTTGATCAGTCAGTCTATACACATAGTAAACTTGTAACTAGAGATTTAAGTGCCAATGAGATTTAAAGCCTATTCCCTTGGACTAATCTACAGATGTATCTTCGTAAGCCAAAGCATCCGACCTTGGAAAACTAAGATTTCTAACCTAACTACCGTTGATAATTCCAAACAATATGAAAGCCTAGCCAAGTAGCTCAGATCCCAGCTTAACTAATATATTAAGATACTAGATTAATGAGCACCTCACATCAGCTAATTTATTTAATGATGCATCTAAGCATAAGTTAGAATTTATTATATTTACACTTAGTCTAATAGAGACTAATGCGAACTTGTCACCTGAAAGTAATCACTCTCTCCATGGTGCCTCGATTAATTTAACTAGTCCTAGCCAGATGTCAATTTTGCTTTAAGGTGGTCTTTTAGATGAGACCTCGCCAAGTTGTGCGAAGACTAGCCCTGCTGGTGGCAAATATTCAGCAACTAATAGTCCAGCTAAGGGCTTTATTTTTTATATTGAATTATTGCTAGTGCTTTTTCTGTGCTACTCAAACTCCTCATAAATGGTATGTTGGTCTACAAAAGCTTTAAGCAGAGTGAGGTGACAGGTCATTAAATAAAAAAATCCTATATTCTACTTTTAGTTTACCATAGCAACGCATTCTGTCCTCATAGAAACTTGGATGGCTAAATCTCTTCGTTTCGATTGACCTGTTGCTATTTTTTGAGCAGATACTGATCCTTCCAGATGTATCATCTTCCCCTTTAACTAAAATGCCCAGATTCAAGCTCTCATTGCAACTCGAAACAGTGTTTTCTCCCTTCGGAACCACAAGCTGTTGTGTTCTTGACCGGCGCAATTTGGACGGATATGAGGTTGGCCTTAATTCAGATACTTCAGCATCTGCAGACCCCCTTGAGTCGTCATCTTTTACTATTACCGAGAGACTTTCACTTTCTTCAACCTCTCTTCCTCGAGTTTGAATTTCAGAGGCCCCTTGATTCTCTATCATCTCAATCTGACAGTCGGTATTCAGGGGACTGGCAGAATCTGGAAGTAGCGGAGAGGACTTATATTCCGTCGATTTATGCCATCCTAAAGCTTTCAATACGTCCTGTGAAGCGGGCTGAGTCTGTCTGTTTTGGAGGACGGAAAGGATGCTCAGTTGATTTGCAAAGCGGCCCCTGTTAGGGCTAGCAGGAGAGGCGATTGGCGAACTGTGCTCGGGGAAACCGGTATTGCTCTCGGGCTGTGGAAATGTGGAGTTATAGAGGCCAGCTGAACAGAGCCCAGGCAAGTATTCTGAAAATCAAGTAGAGAAGATAACTTCATATGTCAATCTGTAGACAGGGCTCTGAATATTTCAGCATTGTCCTTATAGGTCTACAACTTGCCCTTCTTTCTTATGCTGCCATGCCCTCACCTTATATCCCACTTTGGACGGGCTCTTTTCTTTCTGTTCTGCGATGATGTCACATCAAAGAGACCCTTGCTTTGTTATGACTTGATTCAGGGGCAGAAATCCCACTAAACCAAGGGTATCATTGATAAGTATGGTCCAACTACATCAGACTATCAAAGAGATTCTATGGTAATAAAAGCATAGATGAGACAGAAAAGAAAAGTTGATCTCGTCTGTGCGACTAGTCTTTATGGTATTAATGTCTAGCCATCTTATGGGAATCTGCCGTTAATGACTCAAACCGGCCAAAATAGTTATTAAAGCTTCCTCTGCTTAGCCAAGTTATGAGTCTTAGCTTATCCAAATACTGGCTTGACGAAAAGTTCGTTTGCTTTATTGCTTTTTTAGACTTTCCCTTTTAAATGAGCCTGTCTAAATTCGTGGGATATTTAATATCAGTCATGAGGGGCCTAAGTCATTACAATAAAACAATTAAAGCACTATATTATTAGTGAGTCAAAAAATTAAGGAGGTCACTACATGTTGCGGTAGGCTGCAAATTCGCTATGATACAACCATTCCAGTCTGAGCCCGCTCTTAAGTGCCATTGTGCTTATTCCGCAAATAAAATGGACACATGAATTGCAGACAGGCCTTTGGACAAAATAGGTTGTGAAAAAGCGATCAGTTTCAACTGGCAACAAAATCATGCAGACGCATGCAAAAGCCATGTTTTCTAAAGCAACTCTGGGTGAAATGTCAAGGCCCTGGTACTTTTGTTTATTTTGGTACTTATGTTTTGTTTGCGTTTGTGGTAGAAATGTCCCGTTGGTGAGCTCCATTTATCTGTTGTGTGCAGGTTGCTGCATTATTTTGAGCCTAAGTAGCCAAGACAAAAATCACAATATTTTGTCTTCTAAATTTTCTATTCTTGCGGATCCTCAACAGAGGCTCGAAAAATGACCAATGAAGACGAATTAAATATAAGAAATATGAGATGTATTCACCCAATTCCGTTTAAGGTGATGAAAGACTGGTAGTAGAATTTTCCCACAATGATATGCGTAGGGCTGAAGTTTTCATTGAATTTAATATAGCCTTGCTTTCACAAAAGTTGTTCTCATCCAGGGCTATATGAAATTCAATGGAAACGTCAGCTCTACTTATAATATTGCGGGAAAATTCTACTAC